CCCCCCCCGCTGCCTCCTGGATAACCTTTAACGTGCATCGCGATGTTTTTGCACTTGATATTTTTCGATTTTATTCTCCGATGTGTATCGTCACATCGATAACGCGAGCATTTGTCCGTACACATTTCATTTGAGAGCACGCACCGTGATTTCTCGTTAGTCCTATTACTCACATTAAGCGTAGCCGGACATTCGAGAAGAGAACCCGCGGCGTCGAATTACTAACAAGCGTCCTCTCTCTCCCTCTCTTGAAATTTGACGCGTCCTACTTTCTTCGGGGGCCCAATCACGTAATCATCCACAAACTTCCTCACTCCACTCCTCGTTCTTCGTATCAAGCACGAATCTTCCATCCGATGGAATCTCGTTCTCCCGCGTCGGAGAGCGTCACGCGTGTGCTACTCGCTCTCTCCTCTTTCTCTCTCTCTCTCTTTCTTTCTCTCCCTTCGATCTTTCATAGAGCAGGGTGAACTTATACGGTCGACCCTCGGTAGGGCACCTTTTGGTCCCCCTCTCTATTCCTCCTCTCTCAGTAAGGCGCGAACGTAACTTTTACCTGGTCCGTGTTATACCCCCAGGATCGGGGTTCACGTCGTCCCGCGGGTGGAAGCGCCGATTCTGTCTCGGAGATGCTGCTTTATCGTGGCCCTCTTCCGGTAGTCGTGCTGGACATGGTGTTACCGTGCATCGGCAACGCAGCTGCTATACCGACAAACACTGCTCTTGGCGTATAGATCTTCGAAATATGAAGCCACTGGAATTATACTTACGGAATCATATTTTGGACGGGATGTAAGTTTACTGCTAGATTTATTATCTCCTCTTGCAGATTCTAATCGAGAGATAATCCGAGATTTTTATAATTTACGTAAATATATATATATATATATATTGCTTTTGCAAGCATTTCCTTCATTCTCTGCCTTTGATACTCCAGGAGGAATTCATCGGCTAGTAAATTTGCCAGGTCTGAATCTGTCTCGTTAAGTTTCTCCTTCTCCTCATTCAAAGCGCTACGACATGTTAAACTCAGTTTCTTCATTAACTGTATTCTTTCTTTTTTTTGTAACTGTCGTTTCTCTGCTTCCAGCTGTTTATACCGTTGCCAGTTCTTCAAAGAACATATTGTAAATTAATGTTAACGTCCTTCAAAAAATATATTTTAAATTAATGTTAAAGTTATTTCCAAACATTACCTAAGTTTTAATTATATCTTTTGGAATTAAGATTTTCATCCTTCATACAGTATCATTGTACCTTTATGGCTTCTTTAGCTCCTCTATTGTTGGAAGTCCCATCCCCCCTGTATTGTTGGAAGTCCCCACCCTACTCTGAAGCATATTGTGTAATATCCTCAGTATACTTTATATCATCAAATTCTTTATTAGATTCTCCAGTATTTCTCCATTTTCTTCATCTTCGCTAAAACTACTACAATAATACTGCAGCTGCCCCCCCGCCCCCCCCCCCTCCTTAAAATCTTATCCTCCAAAGTTGACATGATATCTAAGGCTTTACACAGCTCAAATAACTAAAGATATATATCGAACAAAAAAGTAACAAGAATTTATATTGTAACCTGCTATTTAAAATTTTATTTTTGATACACGTGTATATGTTTATATCATATATCTGTAGCAAAATTAAAGAAACATATATCAAAAATGTATTAAATTCCAAATAGTTAAATAGTAGGTTTTATACACAGAACTTTGTCGGTTATCGTATTTGTCGATATAGTTCTCATAGCTGTATTCAAAATATGTTTCAGCAATCGGCCAATGTTTTCTATTACAAACCTCTTGCATATAAATTTTACTAGATCACAAGAAATACGTCGATTGTTAATATACTGACGTATTATACGTGTCTAGTTTGTAGATAGTTTTGTATTTTTCACGATTTTCACAAGACAGTTTCAATTTCAGACACAGTCCACAACAAATTAGGAAGTTCCAGAAATGTCAATATGAGAGAGCAACACTGCCGTTCAATGTTAGAACTTCAATGTGTCAGTTTTTGTCGGTAAGAGTGGATAACACAATAACAACTGATCCATAGTGGATAATTTAAGTTTCTGAAGGTTGGTAAGTTACCAATTCGATTAGTTTCCGAGAATCGGTAAGTTACCAGGATCGATAAGTTTCCGGGGGCGGTAAATCTCTTTATAGCGCATCGTAAAGGCAGAGTGAGGTTTAAAGATTCCAATACTTAGATTCAAGTAAGGATGATACTTCATATTTATCCAATATATATGAACTATAGTGTATTCTCGAAGAAATAGATGTCAATGGGTTTGATCTGCATTACGAAGGTATGAGTAACCTGAATAATCTCATAAATGTCAAATAGCTTGGCATCAGGAAAGGTAAAAATAACGACTCCTACGGCTTAGAGAAAATATCAGCAGAACTTCCGGAGTAATTTGACATCTAAGGCGGTGAGAAAATCACAGAAAGGATTGATGAGGCACTGTATAGAATGTTTAATAAGAAGAAATTGATTATTGCAAATCACATCAAATCTGCTGCGTCAGACTTGTATGATGTTAGAAGATTGTATGCCTGGTTTGACTTGTGAGAACCTTTGGAAATATCAAGAGAGAAATGTTAATTGAGAGTCATCTTTAGTAGAATAACAGTTTGTAGTAAATGTTCACACAGAAATATTCACCTCTATTTATAAGTATTACATACTATTTGTGTAATGTCCCGCGACGCTAAATGGAAGAATTTGTACAAAGATACCGAGCGACTAATCTTAAGTTTTTAATATTGCATTAGCGGTCGTAATCATTACGTGTATAATTATGATGTAACATCGCAATTATACATGTAAATTCACCACGATCTCAGGCAAAACAGTAAGTAAAGATGACGTGAGAATGACGTCGAAATAATGAAAAAAGATCGAAGAATGAGTTTTACAACCATTGACTCGTTTTCATTTTGATATTATTTTGATGTCACTGTTATTTTCCTGTTCTGGAATGAGAAGATCGTGAATGCGGTATGAGAGTATTCAGGAAGCCGAATTTTGTCAATCGGAGAATCGATCACCTCTGTCAGCGTCAGCGAAATTGAATTCACACACATCTATCGTAATCCACGTGGTAAATTATTATCTTTTCGTTAAGTTCGCTTTAGATCAATGTAAAGTGCACGGCAGGATTTAGGAAATTATATTTTATACCAACACGGTA